ATAAAGGTGTATGAGAATAATACCTACACCATAAAAGCTATACTTTCATTTATTGTAACATCACAAAACTCTTCACTAAAGACTGCCCACTGTCTTTAGTGAAGAGTTTATGATAAGTAGTGGTTTCGGTCAGTACTTAAGATTTGACATTAATCTGGTTAATGAGACATGTATATGTAAGAGTCAACCACTAATTGTACAGTGTCATTATCAATGAGAGAAATGGCTATTATGCAAAGAAAAGGAACTCATTATTTACACTTCTTTTGAACAGTGGCCTCCAGGGAAAAACACAGCATGCCTCCATCAAACAAAGCATATTTTTTTAAGATCCCCACCATTTAAGAAACAATATAACCCTGACCCTAAGAAACAATATGAAAAGATTATTGAATTTTCTACTTAAATAAGTCGAGTTCAGGAAAAAAAATCACAATTGACTTATAGGCAAACATCCTTCTACATATTCTATTCCTCAATACTAGGTGAACACATTCAATGGCAAAGTGCTTTTGCATTTGTGGCCTACTTATATGCTTCCCAGAGGAAATTGTTAAACAATTGTCAAAAACAGGATAGGACTACCTTCTGACCTTTTCTTCAAACATTATTTGCTCTTTGAGGGACTGCCTGTTTCCTGTAATGTCTGCCCATCCTATTTGCTCCAACTGGATCAATTAAACAAGGCCATCTAATACAACCCAGGAGGGGGGCCTTTTCTCTCGCTGCACATGCCCTGTGAAACAGCACCCCTCCCCCAATCTGCATGAGCCCCACTTTGCCTGCCTTCAAACAATCCTGTAAAAAAATCTGGGTTGTTTCCTCAGACCTGGGGCTCGGTTGTTTGGGGTAGGTGTCTGGGCAGGTTTCCTTTTAATGATGGGTGAAATGAAGGTATGTGGTATTCCTCCACCTGCCACTTGTGTTTTACTTTATGCTGCATACTGTTCTTTTATTGTGCTTTTAGTGTGTGAAGCCTCCCAGAGTCATCTGGGAATTGGGTGGCCTAGAAATATGAATTGATGGGGCAAACTCAGAAGCGACTTTATTTCTGACCAAACATTATGTGTTTACAGGTAGTCCTCATTTAGTGACCACAATTGGGACCAGCAACTCCATTGTTAAGTGAAACAGTTGCTACGTGAAACCCTGACTCTGCTTACGATCTTACTTCAGCTTTCCTTTGCTTTACAGACTTGCAAAGGTCATAAATGCAAGGATTGGTCACCAAATTACTTTTTCATCACCATCATAACTGAGAATGGTCAGTAACTGAGGCAGTTGCTAAACGAGGATTACCTGTACTTATATTACTAGTCCATCCATATATTTCCAGTGAGGTTCCTAGGCACTATCCTGCCTGTTTTACGCCACACCTTCCAATCTTTTCAAATTGATGGGCGTATCTGAAGTTTGGAGAGCTTTGCAATGGCACATTCATAAAGTGGCTGACTTTGGAACAACTGCCTATTCACAAACTGGAGCTATGGTGAGAGTCCAATCATAATACTAATTTTCCAGAAGGCAAATTGGTGAGGTTGCTCCTTGTTGCTCCCTGTAGCTCCCCTAGGATGTTTTCTATGATCCCATCCAACTGTTTGTTTCTTTCCTGGGCAGGAGAGCAAATCACAGGGTTGCAGCTACCCACTTGTCTTCCCCCAAAGTTTTCTTTAGAAGCCTACATCAAGCTCAAAAGCAGTGTTGTAAAAAAATTGCTGACTCTGTTGTCAGAGTCTGGTATTATGCCTTACAACATGTCATTTTTAAAATAAATAAAAATAAAATAATAATAAGTGGGCTAGTGGATGTCAAGGGAGTCACCTTGTTGTTACTTATTCTTATTTTATGCCCTACAGGTATGAATTATAAGTCTTGAACAATTCTGGAAACCGGATCCCAGCATAGAGTACACTGGTGTTGGGCAGCCAATACATTTAAATAAATAAATAATAAAGTGTAATGCATGTTTTAAAAAAATTCAAAATCCTAATATTAAAAAGAAAGCCAATTAAAATTGACTGGCCATTGAGCTACAACCCGGATAATGCTTGAGTTTAGATTCTGTGTTCTCCAAAAACTTTAGGTCACTTTTTCCACAAAACCTTTGGAACCACCCCCTAGAGTCAATATCTTGCTTTAATTCAGCCAAAGTATATGTGATTAAAATAAAAACAACATTTAATGCTCAAATGACCAATTACATTATAATTAGAGAACAGTTGCATTTATTAGCACTTTCTATCTAATTTTACGCTGTTTGCCATTGAAATAAGTTACATTTATAGTAAAATATTACAACACAATTTTATACATGCCTTCTTGTATGTAAGTATTATTTAGTTTAAAGGGATTTACTCCAAATTACAGCATAAGAAAACAAATTCCAGCACATATAGCAGGGCTTACTTCTGAGTAAACATACAAATGGTTACTTTAGACAGACATATACACATACATACATACACATAAATCAGACAAGATGGGACTAATAAACTAAAAGAAGCATACTAATACATATAACGATTGCTAAAACTGTAACTGTGTACAGAAAGATACAGAATAACCTGAAACACATTAAAGTTATCACTTATTGGCAGAATATGAAGAAACAAAACTCCACATCTATTAAACTAAATTTCTAATATCCTGCTAGAACTCTGAATGGGAAATTGGTGTTGGGATGGGGGGAAGAGATCAGGTCCAGGGCACTCCAAGATGGGGTGCAACAGGCTCAAGCTTCTCCCCTATCCTATTTAACATCTACAAGAAGCCACTGGGGAGGTCATTTGATGGTTTGAGGTACTATATCATTAATATTCAAAAGTTACTGAGTTGTACATGTCTACTCCAGACCATTTATTTATTGAACCTATGCTCTGCTGCAATCAATCAACTCTTGGCAGCTTACAAATATACAAAATGTAACAATTAAAACATCCATGGTAAATAGCAATGTAAATGACAATAAAAGTAAAAGTGGTTTAAATAATAAAACTAGTGCAATGCATTAAATCAAGAAAATGTCCTCCAGAATAGTGCGGTAGAAGCCTTGTCTTGGTGTCTAGAGGGTATAAGGAGCTAGATGGGGAGGAACAGGTTGAAACTTAACCCTAGTAAGATGGAGTGGCTGTTGGTTCATAAGCTGACTGATTCTGGGGCAATGCTAATTTTAACTCTAGAGAAACCTAGAAGATCTGATGCTACAACTTGTGGGTCCTTTTGGATGCTTAGCTCCTGCTGGAACAAAAGGTGGAAGCTGTGGCCAGGAAAGCTTTGTCCAGTTTTGGCTGGTGCTCCAGTTGCAGCCATTCCCGGAACAGAAGGCACTGACTGGACATTCATGTCCTCCTCACCTCATGGACAGACTGCACTGTAATGGGCTCTACATGGGACTTCCCTTAAAAACCAGTTGGACACTGCAACTAGTGTGAAACGAAACAGCCCACATACTAACAGGGACAATCCAATCCATCAGTCTTGTGTGAACTGCATTGTTGCAATTTGTTTCCAGTTGCAATTCAAGTTGTTAGTTATAACCTTTAAAGCCCTCTTTGGCTTGAGGCCTTGTTATCTATGACCACTTACACCAAACAGAATCTATCTGCCTAAGGCATGCCTGCAGAAAGTGCTTGCTGAGAGTCCCCCCAACCAAAGTGTAGCAAAAGCTGACCTGCAGGAAAATATTTTTTGCAACAGCTTCCTTCCTGTGGAATGCCCTCCCACAGAAGATATATGAACCACAACCTCACTCCTGGCATTCTGAAAGCTACTGAAGATGTGGTACTTCAAAAAAGCAGTCAAGGACTGAGACATTAATAATGGAGGTACTGGAGATGTGAGACATCTTTGTGAAGGTATATACTGGTGTCTTTTATGCTGCTGATATGATGAATTGTTATTATGTTGGGACATGTTTAATGATAATGATTTTTAATTATTGAATTATGAATGTTATATTATTCATATTGCACTGTCATTGTTGCTTATGGGCTGCTTAAGATTCATAATGACTGCAGTGCATAAAAGCATGTGTAACTAATCAATCAATCAATCATAAGCAACAATTATTACAGCAAAGAGACCACACAGTTCACATGGAACTGTATGTAATCAATTATTTAATTAATTATTGGGTTTCTAGGCTGCCCAACTTCAAAACAACTCTGGCTTCACAAGTTAAAATAAACATTGTGTAAAATAGCATTGACCAAGGGACAACATAATCTCTAATCATATTACCACCAACTCATCATAACTAAAGCACTGGAGTAGATCGAAGTAATTTATGAAACTGCCTACAAAGAAAGTTTTTTGTCATCTCTACCTTTAACAGTCACCTGCTTTATCCCTACCAGCATCCCCACATGTGAGATACAATGTGGCAGAGGCTTACTGGGAAAAAGGGGAATTGTTTAAAATTATGCAGCCAATCTTGAATGATTATCTTTTCCATGGCAATCCCCTGTATTCTACCCCAACCTTTGGGAGAAACTTTAGGTGAAGAAGTCATGGGATGCATGGAACAGAAAGGAAGGATGAAGAATTTCATGGAAGGAAAAATTAAGTTAACTAAATGTAAAAGTCAATCTTACAGGGTTTGAAACAAAAAGAAGCATGTAAAACATGATGAATTATTTTGTTCTTCTAGGGAACTATTAACAATATGAATAAATACAGAATAAAATAATACTACTGGGCTAAATTACCTAGATCAATCATGCTATGGCTGAAAAAAAAGAGAAAAATCAAATAGCAAATTTATTAGCCCTTAGTTCCAGCTCTAATTGCTTGTAAAGATATATTTGATTGCTTGTATGAAAATGCAGACAGGCATGAAATTCTGAATGTGCATCCCGCCAAGGGTAATGGAGTATTAATAAATTGCATGTATATTCAGTTTCAGATGCACAGTCTAATACGTGCATACAGATAGACAAAATATTATTTTAAGAATGCGTAATTCATGCGATTTGTTTCTAAATAAATAAAAAACAACTTACTTGCATGTTTGTCTGCAAGCATAATGAGGCTATTGGAGATGTCTCGTCGTCTGTAAAAGCATACTACTTTTGCTTCCACATTACCACTGGCAGTCTGGAAAATGACAGGATAAATTAATAAAGCACACATTAAAGAATAAAACTAACATTCACTACAGACTTTCCACAAAGCCAAAATTCATCTTTTTAAAGTTGGTCCATGTGATAAGAGAAGCCATGTTGACTTAGACCAAAGATCTATCTAATGCAGCATTCTGTCTCAGAATGGCCAGGTGATGCCCATGGGAACCCTCCTGACCTGAGGTGACGAATTTCACAACTTATTTCATTAGCAGGCACTTGGGCATGACTGAGGCAGGCAGCATTATGGAGTTATTAAAGCTTTACCATTCAGCAGGTGTCCAGTGATAAGAACAACCAATGGTATAGTTAAGCCTCAGACTCTAGCTTTTCTCTGAGGCTGAACACCTGCTTCTCTGTGTAAAGATTAAGACCAGGCTGCTATTACACCCTGATGCATTTTTCTTGGGGGGTTTTGTTTGTTTGTTTTTTGCTCTGTTACCTAATCCTCCTTCAAGAAGCTCAAAAAAATTATCTTTATTCCTACATTTAATTATTTAGGAGGGCCTACCTTGCTTATTTGGAAGAACTGCTAGAGAACAAGATTGAAATCAGCCATCAAGGTAGGCCAGGCCAGAAAACAAACACCCCAAAGATTTCAGGAATACCACTTTATTGCTGTAGGGCATCATAATAACAGAATTTTGAACGCCTTTCAGAGTTTCTCTCTGCTTCATCTTATGCCAAACAGAATCAAGGTATTCTGGAATTTGGAATTTCTTTGTCATGCTTTCTACTTTCCAGGATTTAGTTGCATTCCTCTTCCCTTAACAGTCCATTCATACTTTTATCAAGGTACACTTATTGACTTTAACAGGTCAACTCATTTTAAAGAGCCAGTTTGGTGTAGTGGTTAAAGGCCCTGAGCTAGAAAGCATGAAACCATGAGTTCTTGGTCTGCTTTAGGAACAAAGTCAGCTGTGTGACCTTGGGCCAGTCACTCTCTCTCAGCCCTAGGAAGGAGGCAATGCCAAACCACTTCTGAAATCTTGCCAAGAAAACTGTAGGGATTTGTCCAGGCAGCTGCTAGGAGTTAACACTGCCTCAAAGGCACATAAACACACATTTTAAAGCATTGCCTCATGAAGAAGCTTTAAAAAGTCAGGCTGTTTTGATGAGTAATAGGAAGATGCTGTGCTCACCTGAGGTATCAAGCACTTCTTCCTAATCATTTTCAAAGCATGCACAGTCCTATTATTCTTTACTTAGTTAGTTAAACATTTGGCTCTTCAATCTGAAAGGCTCTCATATAGTCCTTGCTTTCAGCTTACAATTTAAATGGGTACAACACAAAATGAAGGAGGAAAAAAACCCTAGCATTTTATTCTTAATGATATATGGTATATGATACAGTAATAATCTATACAGTTCTCTTTCCCCTGCATTAACACACCTTTTTATTTTCAGGATTTTGTGAGGCAAGCTAGGTTTAGACATAATAACTAGCCAAGGATACCTAGTAACATTCGTGGCTAAGTAAGTATTTAATTTACATCTTTCATAAAGTCTTCTAGCCCTTCTGTCACAATTCATTCACCCTGACCAAGGGTGTGCTCAAAACAAACAAACAAACAAACAAACAAACAAACATGTATGTATGTATGTATGTTCTATTTCAGACTTGAAACAGAACTCAACAGGACTTGAAATGTTCCACATGGAAAAGAGCTTCTGCCCCCACCCCGGTGCAATTCAAAATGCTGGTTATCACTTTTAAAGCCCTACATGGCATGGGGCCAGTTTTTTTGTAGGACCTCCTCTTCCCGATTGTATATGCTTGTTTCACCAGATCAAATAGAGTAGGCATGCTCCAGGTCCCTTCCCTTAAATGTTGCCATCTATTGGGACCTCGGAAGCATATCTTTTCTATAGCAATAGATTCCTGACCTGTGGAACTCCCTTCACCTTGAGATCCAGCAGGCCCTAGCCCTGGATAATTTTCTGGAAGACTGTAAAGAGCTGGTTCTTCTCCTAGTCGCTGGGATAGGGAGAGGCTGGAGTCTGAAAATGGTAGTGTTGGCTCCACTGGAGGAGAATGGTTGTAGTGCCAGGTTTTGAGTTTTGCTTTTCTTGTTTTTATGGTGGCTTGGCTTTGTACCGCTGCTATGAGCCACCCATAGTTCTTGCTGGCCATATAAGTCTTTTAAATAAATTAATAACATAAACTTGGAACAAGGCCTTTGCTCATTTACTTCGCAGCACGGGTCAACAAGATTTGGGTTCAGCAGGGTAGCAATTCATGCAGCCAACTTTCAGAAAGATTGATAAAATCATCATCGTCATCATCATCATAAGGCAATGGATTGGGGGGAAAAAACCTAATATATTAACTTAAAAAATTGTTATCAGAAAATCCCTCCAGATTCTCAATAAAGAAGACAGACGTCTTTTTCTTTTTAAATTTTTAAAATAAGTTTTGGGGGGAGTCTTAACTGACACACTACAGCCAGACAAAGACAGAAGACTAATCTGTCTCATCAACATTCTTTATCCAGCAGTTAGTTCACAGAAGCCAGCTAATTAAGCCAGTAGTCAATTAGCAACAGACACCAATTTAATGTACTGTGTTTCCATTTCAGTTGTATTTAATGTTGTTTTGTTTTCAAATAGTTTTTAAACATATTTTAAGCCAAGTGCTGTTTGCATGCTGCTTAATTATAACTCTTACATAAGCAAATTGAACATGATCATACAGAATGAGACCAAAGCCTACATGTAAGCTCTGAACAGGACAGGAATCATGCAAGCACCCACTCACCCCATTCCCACCCCCAGAGCTACGTCAGTGGAAGTTAACAAGAGAGGATGAGGCAGACAGCAACACTTCACCAGAATGCAATCCTGAAATTTTAAAATATACCATGGAATCCAGGCATCAACATGGCACAAGAGAACTACAAAAGTGCACTCACAACCCAAAATTCAGCAAACAACCCAAACCAACATAGGGGCTTTGCATTTTTAAATGTACTCTGAAATCTTAACATCAGGATCCAAGAGCAACAGAAGGCTCACCTGAGAATTAACAAACCAACTTTATACTGGAGTCTTTGCAGGTACAACCTCAACAGCATTAGCAATACTTGTGTGTAAAGCACTGTTCTGCACAGACAAATGCATACACCTTTGAATTCACCAACATTTATCTACTTTCTTTTGTAGGTAACATACATCGAGCATATATCTCATGAACTCCAACTTCCCCGTAGCAAGGAATCTTTAAGAAGGTGACAGAAGCAGTTTTCCTACATGGCAGGAAACAATGTCTTGAAACTGTGAGCAATCCTCTTCTATTGTCTGTCCTGTGGTTTGCTCAGCCATAGAGAATGGCCTCTGTGTGGATAATGTATCATGTCCCATGTGGCTTCAGAGACAGTCCACCCTGTCTGACCCAGCTAGATCACTGCATGGTGTCCAGCAACATTATTGTTCGCCATGTGTGAAGGAAAGTGGGCCAAAGGAATGGAGCTGATAGTGGAAGGGAGGTTGCCAAAGAGGTGGTAGCAGCTAAATCCCACTTCAGTTTAGGTGATGCCATGATTAGACAGTGGCCAGCTTACATTAATCAGATGTACTACAAGAGTCTCTATTCATTGTGGGCATCAGTCTGGTGGTGCTACAGGAACCAGAGAGACATCCAGCTGAGCCACATATAATGTGCATTTCAGATGTCATGAGCCACTGAGTCATGAACCATTATGACTTGCTTAGGTGACTCAGTGCCTGAGAAGATTCAAGTATCTGAGGAATAACACCCTTTACATCTAGTCATATCTGAGTAGAAGACAGGTGGCTGCCAGTGATCTGGTGAATGAAGTAAAGGCTATATCTCAGTCCCTCACCAGTGATACGACAGAAAACTGCAGCAAATAGAAGTTCATCTTCAGAAAAATGATTTGCTCCAAAAAAGTCAGGTCCAGTTGTGACTCTGCCATTTCACCATGTCACTGCCATGGAGAACATCTTGTCACTTCAGATGCTGACTAGAAAATAACAGACATATTGCTGGGCAAGTCTGCCTTAGCACTGGCTGCCCAATACAGGAGTGGGTCCACCTTCCTTGGCCCACCACTACTAGCCAAATGATGAACTGTATCTGTCTTTACTCTGACAGTGAGCCAAGCTTGCTACCTCAAAAAGAGAATGGCCTGCTTGGGTCCAACAAGAAGAAACCCAGGACAGAAATGGGGCCCTGACTGCTACTGGGGGTAAAGCATGAATGCCTGTTTGTCACCCATGGATTTCAGCAGACACAAAACTCTAATGTCAGATTGGCTCCTAAGATTTTGCTTTCCTTGTCTTCCAACTTCTCCTGAAATCCATGCCCCCATAATTTCTAAAAAGGAACCAAGGATAGAACCTGACGTGTTACTGCTAGACCTACAGTTAAGATGTTAGATATAGAGATGATTAGCTATTGGCTTAAATTCAGGAGAGGATTCCTCCTTCTCCTCCTCCGAACCTGAACTGCTAATAGAAGGGAATGGGATGACATGAGCCTTCTTATGCTGGCAAAAATGACTGCCTTATACTTCACGACTGGCTCCTGCTTCAGTCTCACCCACCAAAATGGCAGGTGACCATTGATACAAGTAAAATCAAGTTAAATCTGATTACCCCTCTCTACCTCCCTTAATCTTAATCTGCCCTCTAATTATCTTTTTCCCAATGACTACTCTACCTCCATAGGCTTCTGAAGGAGGGTCAAGTGATATCATGTGTGTTATGACATCATGGCACAAATAGTGTACACAACAACACAATGGATGAAAATTACATAATTTGTGTCATTTGCATCATCATGCCATAAGATAGGCAAGTTACTCTGGTAACTACCGGACCTCTTTCTCTCTCTCTAATGACTTTAAAGAAGTTGTGATAGGTTGGATTTAGCCTATCTAGCCCCAAATTAGGGGAGAGACCATAAAGGAAAACTTCTGTTTAAAGGGCCATATTTAATATGTAACAGAGCAAAATTAAAAAGCAGAAAATCATTTAAAACAAAAACCCAACAGTAGCGGATGAGAAGGAAAATGGGACGGTGTGGAAGTCACAGCAAATAGCCAGATACCTACCAGGGAAACACAGACGGATCCCCTGGGACAAGCCACATTGGTCCAGTTCTACAAATCCTAATTCTCTCGCTCTACAGCAGTCTCAGATGCAGAACAGCTCCTCTCTGTCCCATGTACACCTGCCGCTCTGCTCCAGCACTGCAACCCCCACAGCTGGTTTGAAAATAAGGCCGTTAAAAACCATCCCCCCGGCAAGCCTTGACACAAAATTCCAACTGCAGCACTTGGAACACTCAAAACATTCCGACCTCAAATGTCTGAGTTTTGTTCACAGTTTTATTTGGCACTAGGAATATTTGAAATGGCTCTTTTAAGTGTGAAATGCTTTGTATGCTCCTGTGACTAGAAAAAGCTTCAAACATTTTAAGGTCTAAGGCAGAACATCTAAATGCCATTCTCTCACTGCTTTTAGCAGTAACTCAAAATCTACCAATTGGGATAAACAACAAATATAATGGTAAGACCAATATGGCTCTATCTTTGCAAGCAACACATAACAGCGCAATCTGTCTGACTTAGGAATTTAATTTACAAAGGCATTTTATACCTCTTTAAAATTACATTATCTTAATCAAATGTTTTCTGTGTTAGAGGGGTTATAATTATAATTAAATCACTACATGTTGCTATCTCTGGTGGAAATGCCAATTTATTTATCTTGGTCAAATGTTTTTGAGGAAATTGAAAAAAATTACTCAGCAATCTTTGGTAATGAATCCTATTGTAGTTTTATTGCCCATACTTTCCAATTCCTATAAATTGTTGCAACTCTATAAATTAATTCAACTGTTTCTGCTTCCTGACGGATTTAATATCACAAAACTAAAATGCATCTTTCTCTGAATCAATGGTATTTAAACATGTAGGAAATATTATTGGTTGAAAATTAATACAGGAGCAAAGATTCCTGAGAAAACCATTAATTAAAGAGAGTTTAATTTAAGCCTGTTCCCTATATTTTGTTACAGACAGACAGAAATTTTATTTTGGTCATTGACCAATAAAAAAACATTCAGTAAAACAAACAAAGCAAAGTTAACCCCTAACATCAATGACTACTGGCAACCATTTGTGGGCAAAGCTTACACATAATGTAGCAAAATGTTGCTACTTTTCAAGGGATAGATTTATCCTGGTTATCTAACAACTAATGGAAATAAAAATTATCAGAGTGCCCTGAAAATTTAGATAAAAAATGGGTAATCATCTGGTGGCAAATGTCCTTGTAAAACTGGCAGTACAAAAGAACATGGGCTGTGGTTTCTATACCATCCGTATTACAGGGGCAGTGTTGAGTTTCATAAGGCATTTTCCTATATTTCCCTTCCAAAACAGTTGTGGGGAGAGCATTAAATCGAGCTAAAGATAAACATCTCTTGAATTTGGGAACTATGATGTGATATAAATATGAAGCTGGCTTAGGAGCTAAAATTTGGATATTTACAAATATGCTGTGAGAGAAAGCAGCAATTTCTGTTTGGCCTTCTATGTCAAAGATCCTTTGCCTTAATATTGATCTTGATCTAGCCCTAAAGTTAAGATGACATCAATGGAAAAGCCATAATGGCTCAGTTTCTTTTGGATACCTGTTTCCCAAGAAGATTTGAAGTTGTCTACCAATATTAAATGGGGCAATCCACCAGGACTGTGGTGTAGTTTTAGCCAGTATCCAGAAACTGGATTCAAGTTTACTGACTCCTGCTTCCTATCGAAGTGCTACATTTGGGACACAGTGGGTAATCTGAAGGATGTTTCTCAAAAATTTTGTTTGAATTCTTTCTAAGGTAATCATGCTTTGAGCCCCATATAGTAGTTGTGCTCAGGCTTTAGTTGCAAGTAATTGCAGCTGGGATAAACTGAACTCCTCTGGCAAAATAATAAGTTTGAATAGCCAGTGCAGATCTCTGGGCATTACGAGATACATAATCCAGGTGGATATTTCTGCTTCCTGAAGCTTGAAAAACTATCTGAAAATATTTAAAGATCTTAACCTGTTCAATGGACTGCCTACCTAAGTCCAGCTTCTCTGTTTTGGGCATTTGGAGAAAGTGAGAATCTTGGTCTTAGAATAATTTATTATTAATTTCTCCTCAGTATGCTGTATAAGCGATCTCAATGCTCGTTTAAGGCCAGTGGAAGTCAACGACAGAATTACTGCATAATCAGCATAGAGTAATAAATTGATATGTCCATGGGCTAATGTGGGAGGATGAAAAGTAGAGTTACTTAAGTGAAGAACCAATGAGTTTATATAATAATTAAATAAAACTGGAGCCAATACACATCCCTGCCTAACTCCCCTCCTTATTGGTAGTGATATATCCTTGGCTACTGCAACTGACCTTCAAACTTGTGTTCTCATGAATTTTAATCAGCAGCAGAAACAGATGTTTGTCTATCATAGCATATTTAAATTTATGCCACAGTTTAGATCTAGATACTATGTCGAAAGCTATCTAAAATCAATAAATGCTGCGTAAAGGGATTGTCCAGATTTGTGGGTATACTTTTCTACTAGGTGTTGCAGCACCACAGCATGGTCTAATGTTGATCGGCCTGCTCTAAACCTAGCCTATTCATCCATCCTCAAGGCCTGCCACACCAGCACCACAGCACAAAGCCCCTGCTGCCCTGTGCTCTGCAGGTCCTGCCGTGCCCAGCTGATCTTCGCTGACTTCCTCCCACTGCTGACAAGGTGCGCTCAGCCTTGCCCTATGCAAGGGACCTGCTGGTCACGCCAAGCCTTCTTCCCAAGGCTGCCCGCACCGTTCTTGTAATGCTTCAGAAAGCCTTTGGAAAGCTTCTGGTTCTCATGCAATAATTCTATAGCTAGATTTCATCTGATGCTACTATCTAGCTTGCTCATACCATACCAATCTTAAGATTATCTACAGCAGACTTAATAGCATCCCCACGTTATTTCTTAATATTCCTTATTTGTTTTATACCCTGCCTTTCACATTTACAACTATAAACTATACAATAAATATACAAGCAGAAAATAATTAATAAAATAGTGCAGTTAAAATTATAAATACAGAAATAAATCTAAAGTATTTCTTTAAGTGCTAGTTGAAAAGACGTTCCTTAACTCTTTTCTAAAGACAGAGGAGGACCAACCACAATCACAATACAGTCTCAAGGAAAGGCATTCCCTAGTTTGAGAGCAACACAGAAGAAAACTGCCTCCCACAGATTAAGTTATAGTTTATTTTTGAAAATCATAAACCATCACAACAAAGAAAATGCTTGGCAGAGCCTACCAAAGAGCTAAAGAAGAAATGGAGTTTTATATTTTAGAAAATTATATCTTTTCATTCCACTTGGAAATATATCAATTCTTGTCAAGTAGCCAACCCACCCACCCCACACCATATACCTTATTAAGTTCTTCTATTCTCCTGATAAGATATGGATTGCTTGAAGAGTTTTCAAAATAAACATAATCTGTAAAAAAAGAATGAAAATATATTTAAAGTTCCTCAAAAAGCAGTATTAGAACAACAAACTGGAAAATCAAATCAAATGATCCATGTTGAAGTCCAAGCATACACCGCTCTTATTTCTACAACAAAAACATGTGGCCTTATGTTATTTCAGAAGTTTATAGTTTATAAACAAATTAACTTCCCATCTCCCAGGAGTAACCAAGTAGAACTTCATTAATTGTTCTATCAGCAATGACTGGCATTCTATTAAAATACCTAATTTCTAAAATTTTGGTCCCATACTACATCAGTTCTCAAATAATTATTTTTGCACAGATTAAATTAATTAATCAGGTGTCAACAAGTTTATTACATCAGAACCATAAAACTAAGCAGGTGTATAATAGCTTTCCACCAAATAAGGCCCTAAAATGGCCATTTCTAGCCAACTTATACTTATCAATTCAGAGATTCAGAAGAAGTAGCACAACATTGACTTTTATGTTAACATTTCTAATATATTAGCCTTCCATAATATTGATTCTCCAGTAGTATTTTTAAACATTAGTACAATAGACTTTCACCATAGGATAAACCCTTATTTAGCAGACTAACTGGAGGAAGAGGTATCTGCTAAAGCAAAAAATCTATTAAATACAACTGAGATTTTATGCGTATTTTACAGAGTTTACATATGCATAAAACAGGAATGCAATGTTTTACTCATATATATGCTATGCATGTGTAAAATGCTAAATGGAATTTTATGTATGTACATAAGCATATTCTTTGTCCAGTGCCTGCATCTGAAATTTGTTAAACTGAAATATGTTAAATTAAGGGTTAATTGTATACCAATACTCTTTTAAAGTCAAAATTACTGTTGCTCAAGGAACCTTCCTTTACATTAATGTGAGTTATACAGGGCTTCACTCTAATAATTAAGAATATTTTTCAAGAGCTCCAGAAGTCATCAAGTTTTTGATCCAGATCACAGCTTTTCATCCTAAAATTATGGCAGATAATTAATCCAATCCACTGATAAAGCTTTTTTTCTGACTAGCATATACTATAAAGAACCAGAGTTGTGAAGCATCTTGGAGACAACCTAGTCCAGCCTCCATAACATTCACTGCAAGAATCTTGCAACTAAAAGATAGCTGATTAATGGTTCTCCAGACGCTGCTTTAATAACTGCTTCCTTAAATAACTGTTGCAAAGGAGAACCATCAAGCCCCAATTCAGTCAATTTCACTGTTCATTATTCTCAGGAAGATTCTCCCAAAATTTTGTCAAATTTGCTTCTTTGCTTCAAAGTGAGGTGCGGAACACATCACTTCTCTACAGCTCCTTAAAACAGCTGTGGCACAGCTGGCATTGAATCCTGGGAAAAGAAGTTTAAGGAAGCAAAGTAACAAAAAGGAAGATGTAAAGAAATGTTTGTGATCCCTTATGATAGCTACAATCATGACTGGAGAATTCATAACCTAAGTCATCCTAACCCTAACCAGCTGTGGGAGGGTTGTAACCTAACCGGGGATTCTTAGAAGTATTAATCTACAACCCTCCCACAGCCATGCTGGCCAGAAATTCTATAAGCTGCAGTCCAATATATCTGAAAAGTCCTAGACTGACTGAGATTGAAATAATTAATCATAGCTTCTAGGTAGAGTTCAATGGGACTACTTCCACTAGGACTGTTTGGAAGAGGGCTGGAAAGAGATTTGTAGCCCACTTTGTAGATATCTACCCAGAGTAATCAATAAAAGTTAATCACAAGTGTGCAATGCAATTTTAAAAGCTTAAGAAAATCAGAACTCAGTAATGCAATTTCAAACATACTTGCTTACAAATAAGCTCCAGTAATTTCAAGGGAATTTTCTTTGTATGGGTCTGCATCCAAAATATATTAGTAAAAAAACTGCAGTACCCATGATACCAATGCATCCAATCGCGCTCTTGGGAAAAAGAAAATATTTTTCTTTCAATGTACAATTATTTTGTTCAGTACCTGATTTGATTAACCATTTGACTCAACAAGAACATGGAGAGCTGCTTTATAACCAGCATTAGCCAGCTAATCTGGTACTGTCTATATTGGTTAGCAACAGCTCTGCAAGACTCTTCACCTGCTACCTTATCATGCTAACTAGAAACATCAGAAATTAAACCTGGGATGGATGGATGGACGGACAGATGGATGGACAGACAGACAGACTTCTGCTTTTTTTCTGTCTATATGGAAATTGATGTAAAACACACAAGGGAGAAGATTAACAGAGGAAGAGTATTTATGAACAAAATCAGCTATCATCATCACCATACTACAGTCTGCACATCTGAGGTTTCATAATAAATTCATAGCTGAGGTATGAATCGAGATTTCCCAGTTCATATTCTCGTCTGGGCTTAGATGTTAAGCAGAGTAAGATCTGTTTATTACTTGGGTAGGAGACCACAATATAGGCTAGAGTTTAAAATCCAAAAGAATACCATAGCAAATTATTTTCGTATCATTGCTAAGAAAACTATATCCATGTATCCATGTAGTCACCAGCTGATTTCAGTTCTGTGGAATCTTTACTTTTTATGATAAACTGATCATGATGGAAAAATAAAAAATAGGACTGTCACCTACAGAAAAGTTAATAGGCAGAGTAATTTTATTGGTTGAGGAAAGGAGATTCAAATACCAGAGAGCCACCTTATGCAAGGTTCTGTCAGGTGCAGGGTGAGAGAAGTAGTGCCATTTCCACTTTCCTTCAGAGTTATTTTATTCATTACATTTATATCCCCCACTTTCCTCTAAAGTACCAGCTTGGAGTATATGGGGTTATCTTTCATTTTATACTCTCAACAAAAACCTTGTAGAGAAGGGTTGAGAGAAACTCAGTGGTTCAAAGTCACTCAGTAGTTGAAGGGGGGAGGGGTTGAACTAAGATTCCCTATCTTCAATCTAACATTCTACCCACTACACTACACTATCAAGGCTGGTAAACATCTTCCTCCACATTAAAGTTTTCAAAGACAAGCACTTCTTTATCTACTTCCCTCTCCTTTAGTTTACCTGTACCAACTCCTGAGTTTGGACATCCTGTGGTTTTCCTGGGGATTGGGTGGGGCACCTGGAACCCTTGCTCTAATAGAATTCTCTTTGTCCCTCAGAGGATTAAACTATCCCAAGGCCCCTGGGGACTTATTCACAGGGACTACAGAGTAGCAACCAAGAAAGTATGAAATGTATTAATTATTTCATTCACTGATTTGCATGGGAATAATTCTAAAACATAATTCTAAAACAAACCTATCTGTTAATAATTCTAAAACAATTCTAAGACTATAATAATTCTAAAACAAACCGATTTGTTATGTTTTTACATGAAAGATACAAAAACATGGTAATATATAGTTAGAAGAGACATTCCTTTCATGTTGAATATAGGACTGCGTCTTCTAAGTTGTTAATAGTCATTTGCAGTTCTTACCAAATATGTGTCTGTTAATTAATCATCACTAGCTGATGAAAATATTTTCTACTCAAATGCATCAGAGGAAGGAAGGAAGGAAGGAAGGAAGGAA